TTGTCTCTGCATCTCCCTTCTTATCATCAGGACTCTATTTCTTTTCTTCGGCTTTTGGTTCTTCCTTCTTATCTTTTTTCCCCTGGGATTTCTTTCTTTTTGAGGTTTTAGGTTCTTTTCCCTCTTGTGTTTTCCTCAGGGATTCCTGTGGTTTTGCCACTCCTGTGTCGCTCTTTGCCTTGTCTAGCTTTGCCTCTGCCACTCCAGTGTCACTCTTTGCAGGGGCTGGTTTTGCCTCTGCCACTCCCGTGTCGCTCTTTGCCTGGTCTAGCTTTGCCTCTGCCACTCCTGTGTCGCTCTTTGCCTGGTCTAGCTTTGCCTCTGCCACTCCTGTGTCGCTCTTTGCCTGGTCTAGCTTTGCCTCTACCACTCTGGTGTCGCTATTTGCATGGGCTGGCTTTGCTTCTGCTACTATAGAGTCACTCTTTGCAGGGGCTGGCTTTGCTTCTGCCACTCTGGAGTCCCTCTTTTCAGGGGCTGGTTTTGCCTCTGCCACTCCCGTGTCACTCTTTGCCTGGTCTAGCTTTGCCTCTGCCACTCTGGTGTCGCTATTTGCAGGGGCTGGTTTTGCCTCTGCCACTCTGGAGTCCCTCTTTGCAAGGGCTGGTTTTGCCTCTGCCACTCCAGTGTCACTCTTTGCATGAGCTGGCTTTGCTTCTGCTACTATAGAGTCACTCTTTGCAGGTGCTGGTTTTGCCTCTGCCACTCTCATGTAGCTCTTTGCAGGGGCTGGCTTTGCTTCTGCCATTCTGGAGTCCCTCTTTGCAGGGGCTGGTTTTGCCTCTGCCACTCCTGTGTCGCTCTTTGCCTCTGCCACTCTGGTGTCGCTCTTTCCAGAGGCTGGCTTTGCCTCTGCCTCTCCAGAGTCACTCTTTGCAGGGGCTGGCTTTGCTTCCACTACTCTGATGTCACACTTTGCAGGGGCTGGTTTTGCCTCTCCAACTCCAGTGTCGCACTTTGCAGGGACTGGCTTTGCCTCTGCCTCTCCTGAGTCACTCTTTGCAGGGGCTGGCTTTGATTCTGCTACTCTGGAGTCTCCCTTTGCAAGGGCTGGCTTTGCTTCTGCCACTCTGGTGTCACACTTTGCAGTGACTGGTTTTGCCTCTGTCACTCCTGTGTCGCTCTTTGCAGGGACTGGCTTTGCCTCTGCCTCTCCTGAGTCACTCTTTGTAGGTGCTGGCTTTGCTTCTGCCATTCTGGTGTAGCACTTTTCAGGGACTGGTTTTGCCTCTACAACTCCGGTGTCCCACTTTGCAGGGACTGGTTTTGCCTCTTCCACTCCAGTATAGCTCTTTGCAGGGGCTGGCTTTGCTTCTGCCACTCTGGTGTCACATTTTGCAGGGGCTGGTTTTGCCTCTACAACTCTGGTGTCGCACTTTGCCGAGGATGGTGTTGCCTCTGCCACTCCGGTGTAGCTCTTTGCAGGGGCTGGCTTTGCTTCTGCCATTCTGGTGTAGCACTTTTCAGGGACTGGTTTTGCCTCTACAACTCCGGTGTCGCACTTTGCAGGGTCTGGTTTTGCCTCTTCCACTCCAGTGTAGCTCTTTGCAGGGGCTGGTTTTGCCTCTGCTACTCCAGTGTCACACTTTGCAGGGGCTGGCTTTGCTCCTGCCCCTCCCACGTCACACTTATTCTGCATTGGTATCAAGGATTCATCAGAATCCATACATATATCCTTTTTTTGTGCTTCTTTTTGGTTTTTCGGAGGTTTTAAAATCGAGGTTTTGGAAACTGGTGGTTTTTCAGGTTCTTCATCCTCAAAACCTGGAAACATGACTGAGCACACAACAAAAATGCATGATTCAGATATCAAGTGTTTTCACTTTATTCCTTTTCCCCACTCCCCTGATATATAATTTTTTGTCTTAAAACTGAAAAAAAAAAACTGGGGTTAGCTTGAGATTTTCCTGAAATTGTAAAATGGTGGAATCACCTAACATCATAGAAGTATTGATAAAACTGAAGGCTTTTCAGTAAAATGGAAGACTAATGAAAGAAAAGGTAAAATGTGATATAAATGAACTGACATTTGTTCAACAGGTTATGACCAATGAATAATGTGTAAGAGCTAATGGAATATGTATCCTGAAAGGAATGGGATTTAAAGGAAAAATCATGACAAGAAGCAATAATTATTTCTTAAACTAGAAAAAAAGAAAATTCAAATGTGATTTACATATTGAATAAAAGTATGTTTCATCATGCAAAACAATAATAGTAGGAGCTATAAGTATTGGGCTTAGTATATACCACTCACTTTTCTGAACACCTTACATATTGAATCATTTAATCTTCATAACAACCATAAAGATAGTATTATTATTCCAGCTTTACAGATGAAATAATTGAGGCACAGAAAGCCTAAAGTAAGATAAATCATACAATTGGTAGGTGGTAGAGCTGAGAATTGAACCCATCTAGTCAGACTCTAAAGCTTTAATCATCATCTTAAAACTGCTTCTTGTAATATCTGCTAGTTCACTTTGCCAAAATTTCCAGTCCTCCCTCTCAAGTGCTGGTAAATCAACTCTGTATAAATTTCTGTGATCTAATATTCTTGAATTCATTAGCTTCTGCTAGGTATTTCTGTTTTCTTGTTTTTTTCCTCTCTTTTAGTAATTTGGTTCCCTGAAATTAAGTTAAAAAATATCTAGGCTACCAAGGAGAATTGTGTGGATTCTTACTATGCAGCAGAAACATGTCTTGTTTGAGTAAACCTATGGTATAATATAGTAGAAAGAGCACTGAACATAAAAGCTGAATCAGAAAGCAGCTAGCAGGGTTTACTAACCCTGCTAGCTGCTTAATTTGGGTAAACCAATTAATCACCCCAATCTCACTTTCCTTATAGTCTGCTCTGCTCTCTTTTCAGAATTACTTAAGTAGACAAAAGAGCAAGGCCTTCGAGACACAAATGTCAAATCCTGGCTTCAAACCTAAGTAGTTGGGTAAACTTCATGTTCTTGTCTGTAAATTGGGGAGATAGCATTTTCTATCTTGTGGAGGTGTTATGAGGATTAAATAATATTATTTAAGTAAAACATTTGGTACAGTACATGGAACTTATTATGTAGTCAATAAATATGTGCAGGGTCTGGGTGTGCTCCTGCCCCTCCCACATAACTCTTTTTCTCCACTGGTGTCTAGGATTCAACAGAATTCATACGTATATCCCTTTTCTGTATTTCTTTTTGGTTTTTTGGAGGTTTTAAAATTGAGGTTTTAGAATCTTATATCTTTACTTATATGCAGCGCTGAGGATCAAACCCAGTGCCTGACACACATGCTAGGCAAGTGCTTTACCACTGATCATAACCACAGCCCATAACTTTAGAATATTATCAGTTATAAAATTAAGCTCACCCATATTAGGTAAGAAGCTAATTATAAATCAAAAGTAGTATTATAGTTTATTTTTTTCTCGGTATTTAAGTTTTTGACACTCAAATAAGAATAACATTAAAAGTGTGCAGTAATGTCTGAACTCTTTTATGAATTTTCTCTCTTGTTTCTCTTCATTAAGATAGGAGTATTGACATTTTATTATAGATAAACTCATTTCCAATTTTCTAATGAGGATTAGTAGTAGTGTATCCCAAGAATTGATGAATTTAGAGGAATATTCCAGTATATTTTAATATTTGATAGTGCTGCCAGTGGACTGTTTCATTTTGTTTGGGGTGTGGAGGGAGTGGGAATGATATGGAGAAGAGTGAATTTTTTCACTGATGCTTGTAACCTTAAGAATACTGTGTAATATATCTCTCAAGAAATCTGGTTCTTTTTAATGTTTGAACACTTTTAGTTTTACTAGCTCTTGGGGATAATTGCTTTCTATTGTTTAGAATACTGTATGACCCATTTTGAAACCAAAATCGACCTTTTAAATTGTAACAATTTTGTTAACCAAATTAAGTCTTCTAGGATTTAATGAAGTAGTCATTGTTTATTCTACCTTTGCCCTTCCCAATTTCATAGAATTTTTTAAAATATCAGTATTTTTCTCACCACACTGAAAAATATCTTATCACTCTTAAAAATATCTTTAAACCATTGATTATTTTAATATCTTTGCTGTTGCTTTTCTATCTTAACCTTAATTAACAAAAAAATAGTTTCCTAGGATTTATTTTTTTAGGATCTAGTCATTCCATAAGTGATGTCCTTTTAAATTTCAACATTGCATTGCAGAAGTAAGCCACAGATCATTATTCTACCACATTCCAAGTCTCCCTTTTCTCAGATTTTAAAATAGTACACAAGTCTTTTCTTTCCCTTTTACTTCATGATACTCTTTTAGTTAAAATGTAAAGCTTCATAACAAATATTTTCAAACTTTAGCTGAAAGTTCATTCATTGCACATACAACAAAATTATAATACAATGAAAAGATTTAAAGACTTTGGGGATTATTGCAATGTATTCAAAGTAAAAATTTTATATTGGATTTATTTTTGCTACAGATGAAAGATATGAAATAGTTATCACATTAATCTAATTTTATTGTACTTAATATGTAAAATAGAATATTGGCTGTATTTGGACATTTTTCTTTGTCATCATTCTTTGAACAATACAGTATAACAACTATTACATAACAATTATGTTTTATTAAGTACTATTTAAAGTGTACAGGAGGGTGTGTGTAGATTTTTTTGCTAATACATTGCCATTTTATGGGACTTGAGCATCTGAAGCTTTTGATATCTGAGGAAGGTCCTAGAACCATACCCAGTGGATACCTAGGGATGACTGCACAAATACACATCTTACACAGTTTTGGTAATCATTTACAGGGTGAGGGAGGGTGTGATAAAGGCATGTAGAGTAGGAACTTTGTGACTACACCAGTTAACTTTGATCAAGAGTGAGAATATGAGCTTTATTAGGAAACTAATTTTAGGTTCTTAATCCATTGGCAGGATGAGCACAATCATATCTAGACTCTAAAAGATCTGTTAAGTTTCAGAGGGAGGAATCCTTACTTCTCAGTCACTGATTGCATTAGAAAAGATAATATAGTTATTAGGTAATTGTGGAGGTGACATGTAAGAGACTGAGAGAACGTTGGTACTTATTTTATTGTTTGGTTTGTCTTAAATATTCCTTTGTATATTGAATTAAATCTTAACCTCCTTTTTCAAAACTATCAATTGTGTTTGAAAGATTATATCAATAAGAAAATCTATCTATCTATCATATATATATATATATATATATATATATGTATAAGCAAACATTTTAAAAGATTAAATTGATTTTTTCTGTCAACTTTAAAAAATTTATTCACTAAAAACTATTCACCTCAGGAAGAGGCTTGGTCTGTGATCCCTTCTCAGAGCCCTTTATCACTCAGGGGTCTTCTGAGTAAAGTTAACACATAAAATCAACCAACACAGATGAAACACTTTTTATAAGGGAAAAACACAAGATCCTATCACAAGGTCCTGGGACCTCCTGTATGTGGAGAAGGCATTTGAGAAATGTAGGTATACAGAGATGGCTCTGAATGCATATTGTTTCTTGTACCATGAGTCAAAAGAAAACAATTGCTCCTTCAGCTTCCTCTCCTGTCCTCTTTTCCCCCTGATGCACTCTCTTTTTAGAAAGAATGAGATTTAAACGTAATTATAAAGACATATTTTGACTTTGTGTTTAGAATGTTTGAAATGCTTGAAATGTGTCTTGTTAGATTGCATCTTATGATTATATATTTGTGGTGTTTGGAAAATTTTTATTCTATTGTGTTTTATATGGTTTTCTTGAAGAGATAAGTCATGCCTTAAATTATTCCAGTGTAGAGAAATCTGAATTTAGAAAACCAAAAGTAAAACATTGATTTAAATGGGAACTCTTCTATTTTTAAAAGAATTCTTTTGTATACATTTAATTTCCAACTTCTTTAGTAGATGTATATTTGTTCTAGTAAATACTTGATTTATAGATAAGGTTTTATTAATAATCACACAAAGGGCATTTGTGACACTGTATTGGAGGTAGTGTGTTGGTATAGAAAGATTGTATACTTCAGAGATAGAAAGTCTTGGATTTGAATTCTGACTCTGCTGTTTCCCAACTTTTAATCTTGTATGCAAATACCTGAGCTTTAGATTTCTTATTTTTAAAGTGGGGGATAATTATTACCAGTCAGGACTATGATAATTGCCTAGCAGTTGCTCTAGACCTATTTTCCCTCAGAGGTAAAGTTATCTAGAAGGTAGTAGATGCGATTTTGTCCTTAACTAGTATTTTTCCCTATTATTAGGATTCAGAGGACATCTTGGATAACTAAAGGAGTTCTAAATTACCATCAAAGAATCAATGCAGTTCAGAAACAAATCTTTCATTATATTTTGCTGGGAGTCACTGAGGATATGTTTTCTCAGTGAGAAAAACCAGAGATTATGGCACCCTTTTGTATGAACTTCATGTCTTCTACAGCAATATTTATAAAAGTAGATGTTTAAAATCTTAGAAGATTCAGGACAACAGGGACATTTACAATGATCTTAGAAGCATAAGTTTGCATTTTGGGAGTAGAAACAGCCAGGCCAGAAAATAATGATACACAATATAAAACATCACAGCTGAGAATAGTTAATGAACATATCTATAGGAGGTAGTGCTAATAACACACAAAAGAAAGATCAGTGGGAATTTTTTAAGTATAAGGGAAGCTACCTTCTAATGATATCCTGTCTAGGTATATTCAGAAACAGAATTTCTAGAGACTTAGAAGTCTGTTTTATCTCAGGAGTGTTGCTGGTCAAAGCTCCACATCTACTCCTCAGAGAGGGTTCTTTTGTGGTTCACATCCTACTACACAGTTTTTTTTAGTTAAGGTAAATATTTTTTTGAGGTGCAGGAATGCATGCTAGGCATATGCTCTACCATTGAATTAACAACCCAGTTGATGTAAAGATCTTTTTTAAAATCCTTTATTTTATTTATTTATTTTTATGTGGTGCTGAGGATGGAACCCAGGGCCCTGCACCTGCTAGGCAAGTGCTCTACCTTTGAGCCACAACCCCAGGCCAATGTAAAGATTTTTAATCCTTGAGTAAATAATACCAATTATACTGAAATTTGGACTACTACATTTTTAACCTTTCTTTATTCTTTCACAAGTCATTTTTTCAAAACCCACTTTCCTGATCAGTTTGAAAAAGATGTCTTGTTATCATAATCACTATCTCATCTTGACATCTATTCTCTGTCAATCTTAGAGGATTTTCTTTTGTAGTAAAAATTATCATTGATAGAGAAAATAGGCTTGCTGGGAATATATGATTTCAATAATCTTTGGTAATAAATAACCAGAATTGGATAGGAAACCATTATATTTGGTGAAAAAAAGGGAAATAGGCCAAAGTGAATGAAAACTGAAATATGAGGAAATCACTTATGCAATAATGACAATTTTAAGGGAGAAAAACTTGTAATTCATGAAAATAGGGGAACAAAAACTCAAAGGTTCTCAGCATCGAAATAGAAAAGTCAAGGAAATGATCCACACTTACCATATTTTCCAGAACCGCCACCTGAAAGAGAGAAAGGCAAACACATCAGTAGGTATTGGTCTTTCCCTTCTTTCCAATTCCATTGGATGGAATCTGTGTCATTAATAAATAAGTTCCTTTTAGTTTAATGTGGAAAACCTTTCTTTCTTTTCCTCCTTCTCTTTGCTGGTTGTAATATAGAAAGACCTTGTGATAAGCTATTTTTAAGCACCTTAATAATTAGCAAGTTTGTCTAGGGTTCCAAGGTTATATATAGTTTATAAAACATGAGAACTATAATGATCTTGCTTGGAAGATATGTCTAATATATTACTTTATACAAATTATTTAAGGTATAATGTTCCTAGTACTAAAATATGGGTGTATCTGTTGAGCTGATGTATTTAATATATATAATGTGAAAAACACAAAATAATAAGCATGATATTGTGAGGAACGCAACGCCAGGATTGTTTATCGGAGTTAGAGTATTTAAACCCTAGAACCAGGGGATGTCAAAGTATAGCCCATGGGATAAATTCAACTTGTTGCCTATTTTTATATGTTTTGGGAGGTACAATTGAATTTTACAATTTTAAATGGTTGTAAAATGAGAATGATAATATTTTGTGGCATGTGAAAATTATGTAAAATTTAAATTTCAATGTTTGTTACATCTCTTTTATGTATTTTGTATGATTGATTTTGTGCTAAAACAGAGTTGAGTAATTGTGACTGAGACCTCATGGCTTATAAAACTTAAATATTTATTATCTGGCCCTATATAAAAAGTGTTTGCCTACACTATCTCTAGAGGAAAGGAAAGTGCTGTAAACAGATTAGAAATTTACGAATGGTCCTTGAGTTATTCCTGAAACTTCAAATAAGATGATAGGTTAATTGTAGAATTTTGGGATTGAAAAAATATTGTTTTTTGCCCACTCCCTTTCCCCAATTCTTTTTTTTTAGAACTGGGGATCGAACTCAGAGGTGCTTAACTACTGAGCCACATCCTCAGCCCTTTTCATTTTTTATTTTGAAACAGAGTCTTGCTAAGTTGTTGAGGCCGGCTTCAAACTTGCAATCCTCCTGTCTCAGCCTTCCCAGTTGCTGGGATTCTAGCAGTGCACCACTAATTTTTTCTTATAGGGTTACAATCACATCTAGCAGGGTATAATTAACTATGATAAAATAGCAGATTCCTTAGTGTGTTGGAAGAACCTTATATTTTTCACCACATTTATGACTCACTGTGGTCGAAGTTACTGTCTTTTAAGTGCTCTTTCTGCTTTCATTAATGGAGCAGGCTGTCTATAGTTGGTGACCTCTGAAACTGTGAGCCCCAAATGAACTTTTCCTCTTCTAAAATTGTTCATGTCAGGTTTTTCAGTCAGAGCAGTGAAAAAGCTAACTAAAGCACCATGTAAACTCTAGGTTACTGGAGTGATAGGGAATAACCTGCAGTATTAGGAATTATTAATATTTAGTATTAGCTTTCAGTATCAAATATTAATTTCATATAATTATAACTGAGTTATGAGCTAATAATGACAGTACAGGTTGTTACTACAATGGTTAAAACATTCTTTGCTCATAGGTCATTGAGGAAATAGTTGGATTATAGTCATCTGATAAAAATGGTTGTCTCTATGTGGGGGTTGGAGAAAATATGGGAAGTTGCTGAAAGATTGTATTTATCAGAATCCCAAACAAATCAGTCATATCTCTACTGAGTGTCTTAACCAGAATTTGTTTAAGAGCTAATTTTCCTAAAAATGGTGCGACAAAGATTTTATCATCTGATAAAGTATCTATCTCTTTCACAACATGTAAATTGCTTGGATTAACAAATGTCAGTTTCGAAGAATATCTTCTTGATTGATCGCCAGAAAAAGGTGTAAAGTATTAGAGTCATTTCAGAATCTTGCATCAAAAAATATAGAAGTGGGTCCTCTCTGCGTTATTTTGAAAAATTAATTAACACAGTCTAATTTTCTGATAGAGTTGGTGAGGCAATCACATCACAATAACTAGAACATGAAAACTTTAAGTCCATTCTAAGAGGAACAGGCAAAAAGGGAAAAGTATATACATATATTTTGCTTTGGAAATGTGGGAAAAAACAAAATTTCATATTCATTGATGAATTATTTCTCATGAAAATTCTCCACTGAACAATATGCAAGGACAGACTCTTGAAACATAGAAGGAGGAAAGATTTGATGGTGCCATTTCCAAACTTAGATTTTATGACTTTCCTGCCTTCTATCTTTTATCTTAGAGACCCATTTCTCCACTTTCTCTTTCTCCTCATCTTTAGATTTCTTTTGTGGCTTGGTTGGTTGTTGATATAATGCTTAAACTTTTGGCAACACATGTTCTCCCCTCTCTATTTTTATCTCTACCCATTGGGATTTATTCTTCACACCAACTTACAATTAATCAGTTATTCCCTTAACATGGAGGAGGGGGAATAAGAACATCAGATTTATAAGGAAGTGATTACAGATAATACCATACAGGAATAATAAAAGTTAAAATTTAGAGAGATTAAATAATTTGCCCAAAGCCATCTAGCTGATGTTTTAGGGGAAATTTAAACCTAGATCTGACTGATTCTTTCCTTAACCATCATAATATATAGCCTTTGCATCTTTACACTGATTAATATAATGTAAATGGTTTTATCCCATATTTAGAATTATTCTTTAGAGCATATCTCTAGGAAAGGAATTATTGGTTTAAAAGATTCTTCCTTTTTATGAATCTGGTAGCAAAATGCAAATTTACTTCTTAAAAGAGTTATGTTAATGTAATGGTGCCAGTATTATATAAAGTATATTATTTACCAAAACATTGCCAGCATTAATTATATTTAAATTTTCTTCTTAATTATGTGAAAAACAATATCTCAGAGTCTTAATTTTTCTATCCTTTACTCTTAATCCTATTTATTTTTTGTTAATCCTTGTGTGTATTTTAGTTTCTAAATTCATCAGCAGTTAAGGAATTAGAGGATGATAAGGAGGCAAAAAGAGGTTGGAAAATATGCATGCAAAAGTCCTTTAATTAAGGAAAAGAAATTTAAAGGATACTGGAATTAAGATGTAGATAAATAATAGTTTACCAAGAGGTATGGGAGTAACTGGCAGGATAACATGAACCAAAAAAAATGTTTTAGCAAGAATATAGTTTCCTGCCTTGATTTTTCCAAGGAGTTAAACAAAGACATCTTTGGAAGATACCAAACCTCCCCCAGAAAGATATTTGTAGTGGAATAAGAGGCATTAACATTTACTAAAGGAATAATTACAGTCTGATGTGACTGGCTATGGTATATTTTTTTCTGGTTCATCTAGTAAGAAGGCTTACTGCAGAGAACTTTTAAATAATTGCAAATTTGAATGTTAATTGCAGTTATTCTCTTTCCTCTCCCAATACTACTTAATCTGCTTTTCCTTTATTCCTATTTGGGATCTCCATACTTGTTATATCTCACCCTATTTTTTTTCCTTGATACAGTATGGAATGCTTTGTTTGTTATTAAAAGCTGTTTGAAATTTTTTGAAAACAAAATGTTTCTTTTCTGTGCAATCTTTTAGCCCAATGTTTCTTCTTTCCACTGAATAATTAATATCTCAGGAAATTGCTGTGTGAGAGGGAATATTCATAAATAAAAGCACTAAGTGAAATTTAGGTCAGAGTTAGGGAAATTTTCTCCTCATTTTGGGATCCCAGTTTGTACAAGATTTATGAAAAGAAATGGAACTTACTGATGGGTACTCCTACATATGCTAAAATCCAGATAGAAATTATTAGAATGAGTTGATACTGATAACAAAGTTGACATTGATAAATAGAATTCTTATAGGTATTGTTTTGACAGGAATTTCTAGGATGAAAGGAAGGGAAAAAGCTCTAAGCCTTTAATAATGAGTTACTTGAGGCTTTTTTAAAAAACAGTATTAGTTATTTTGAAAAGGTGAAATAGTTTCTTTTTATTGGCTAATTTATCATGGAAAATAAAATAACACGTAGTTGGCAACCTCTTTTCCTTAAAATTTTGCTTCCATTTTTTCCTCTCTTTTCATTGCTCATGAGTTATTCCACTTTTCTCTACCATTTCTACCATGCATTTAATTGGGCAATTATTATTCTTTTTGTTGAAAAGTTATTAGAGCCAGTTCAAGAGATTTTTTTTTATCCCACCCTAAATTATTTGTTAGTTTCATTTTCCAGACATTTAGTATCCAATGGGGAAGAACTTAGTCAATTGAATGCATATAAAGAAACATAGGTGGGTCTAGTACAGTGGACTTCACTCTATGAAAAAAAAAGGAACTTACTGAAAGGTACTGGTACATGTGCTAAAAGCCAAATCCAAATAATGAGTTTGGGTTAACACTGATAACAGAATTGACAATGATAATAGAATTCTTACAGATATTGTTTCCAGACAGGAAAGAATTGCTGGGGTGGAAAGGAAGGGCAAACTTCAACCTTTTAATAATGAGTTGCTTTAGATTTTTCTCCCCTCAAGCGTAATATAGTCATTTTGAAAGCATGAAAAACAAGTGAGTTATTTTTATTTTATCCTCTTCAGGCAGTAGTGTATGATCTCTATTATAGCCTTATAATAGTAGAAGTGTATGATTATATAGTAGTGTATGATCTCTATTATAGCCTTACAAGTCTAAGTATGTAATAATGTCTTATTTGCTCTTGGCAAGACACTTTAACTTCCTAGAAAAAAAATATCATTTTTATTTTTCCATTTATCTTTGTGGTCTCTTTTCTTTAAAATCATAAACATACCAACAGAACTCTGGTAATTGGGAGAGGGTGTGAGAAATATAAATATCAATATTCCCTTGAAATGGAAATAGCCACATTTAGGAAAAACCCATAGCAAGCATATTTCATATGTATCACCAGGAAGGGAATTTCTTAGATATGTAGGTATCATTAAAATGTGTACAGAGAGCATGGTTCTCATTGACACTCTTCAGTGAGTAAGGACAGAAATATCTAAATTATTTGTCAGATGTGAGAGCTCCATTTCCAGAAGAAGGATAAATGAATTACTTCTACTCTGCACCCTGAACCCCATTTTCCTCAACATCTCTGGATATAAAACATGTCAGGAATTTTAATTTCATATGTAAATTTAGAAGGGTAATATCTTTTTCTGTAGTGTCCCTGCTGCATTTCCACTGCCTAGTACATGGCCCTTAATAAATTTTTTTTTGAGTAACATTTCAATTTAACTTTGCAAATTCAGTTGGATTTCTGCCATCTCCTACTTTTCCCCCTTTTTTTACCAAATCATTTATAAGCTCTAAAAATAAAAGTAATGGGTATAATTTTCCCCCAAAGGTGACAATTTGTGAAAAATGTTCAAAATAGGAGGAATAAGTCCTTGTGTTCAATAGCACAGTGATGTGACTACAGTTCACAATGCTTCATTAGATATTGTATCAAGAATTAGAACAGAGGAACTCATTATGCCCCAAACACAAAGAGTTGGTGAATGTTTTAAACTCCGTTGGAAATGCTAATTATACCTTAATTTGATTACCACATGTTGTGTGTGTATATATATCTGTGTCTAAAACTGTATCATATCACACTGTACCCCATAAGCATGTATATTTATTGTATTAATTTAAAACATAAATTTAAAAATGAATTAAAAATAAGTAAACATTTAAAAAATGTTCAAAATTATTATCTCTGATTTCAGGTCATTGTTAGCCAGCTCATTATTTGATTTGTCATTCATATGTTTTTTACTTCTAAAACATTTATCAGTAACTATAGAGAAAGTTGTTCAATTTAAAACAAAAGAGATTGAAAAAACCTTGAATGTTGAGGTCTTTCATGCTCAGAAAGAATATAATCCTGTAGGAACTAACCTCAGAATTGATGGATATAACTTACCTGGCTTTTGCTTTTCTGTGAAAAAGAAATCAAGCAAATAAATTAATGAGAGGTTTCTGGATGAAGAATATAATTACTTCTCAAACTCTTTCTGCCAGAATTTTTAGAAATAGGATTTTGAGAGACCACCAAACTCTCTTTAGAATCAGTTCAACATAGTGGGAGAATAAATATCTTCAGGTTTTGCTGTTAAAGTCTCTCTTAATTTGGGTTACTTTCTGGAAAGAAAGGTTAAGCATGGAATCACTGGGAGAGGCTATTTCCTCTTCCTTGTTACTTTTTGCCAATTCAAAGTTTCAAAATTTATTGGTGAGATTTTTTTTGGTAAGATTTTTATGTCACTTTGTTACCTTCTTATTTCTCTATTTCCCTTTCCTTCTTTGGAATGATTGTGTTGGTTCATCATGATCATTATAGTATGACTTGATTGCTAATCACTGTTTAAGGTTAATTTTTAGAAAGTTTTTCCCCTTTTCCTCCATAAACATAAATGTCTTATAAATGGGAGGTTATATTTCTCACCATTTGGTTAGATGGAAGCACTGCTTGATGCTACAGTGGGGAGAACTGGTACTTGGAATTGTGGGGTCATGGACAATTTACCTAGTCTCACAATTTTTTTTCTTTGTGTAATAGGAATATTAATACTTATTTGATATAATGTGTATGCCTATGAAAAGCCCTGAGTATAGTGCCTGCCACATTGTAAGTACTTGATAAATACTTATTATCATAGCATCACATTTGGTACTAAGCAATTCAATTATAGCCTCCAGTTATGGCCATCGATAGCTGAAAATGTAGCATACCACTGGAAGTAGGAATAAGAAACTGAAGCTATAATGTTAGGAGTACTAAAAAATTACCAAAGTATCAGAAACACAAATTGCACCTCTTGGTACATTCATACTAAAAGGGACTCTACATATATACCATAAGAAATTAATAACAACAGTAAAATTGAGAGAAACATAAAACTTACTTGTAGACGTCATAGATTTTGCTTCAATAAAAAAGAAAAAAATAGTGTGTTTATATGATAAAAGAGAAATAGTCTTTCACTGATGTCATTTCCAGGGTAAGTGTCAGATACTGAATGAGAGTAAGCAGGAAGGAGATTCTATATGGCAGATTAGAGGAAGGCTGCATTTTCAGTTGCTTCATGGCTTCTCCATGAGGTGGGTGAAAGAGAGATTTCACTAAAATTCAATATTGGACAGTCAGAGTATCTTACTCAGAAAATTGAGTGCATTGAACAAAGAAAAAGAGTGTATTGGGCAAGATGGCTTGTTTTCCTGGCTCCATCATGGTATGAAACCAAGAAAGCAGATAGGCATCTTCTCAGCTAGGTGGGTGAACAATAAAAAAAAAAAGCAGGAAATTTACTGGGATTGAATACTGGACATTCAAAGCAGATTGGGGACTCAGGAGGTTGGATATAATAAGGAAGAAATCTCCAGTCCTCCAGCTATTGCTGCCAGCAGAGATGCCATCTAGAGTGGTCCCTCCATGAGCAAAGTGGAAGGATAAGGGAATTAAAGGAACCCACATTTTTTAGGAGGCCTGCGGTGTGCCTGGGTATGGAGAGTCTATAGATCAAAGACACTGCCTGACTAAACTGAAAGGTGTGCTGCATAATATCCTTGTGTGAGCAAGAAGCCCATTCTTTCCCGGTGCCCGGGTGTGGAGGACAGAGGAAGGACCATTTTGCAATTGCTGTGCAGGGGTGGCAACTAAGGAAGCTGATTCTTGGTAAAACTGAGTTTGGCTTGAAAAACAGGCCTGGCAAACCCACATAGCACAACAAAGAGTATGTCTAAATGACCAGGAGAAAATCAAACAGGGAAAGAGGTTTACTCAGGGGACAACTGATTGTGGAAACCGGTGCTGCCCCCCCCCCCACTAAATGAGGCTGCTTGCAGGATCTGCTAGGGGAGAGACACCTGGCCAGGACTTGGAAAAGGACAGGGAGGGAGAGGTTGAGTTCAGAGACTGAACTTGAAACTAGGAAACAAGATGCCCAGGGACTAAGAATTGGTTTTTCCAGCACATGAGTAGAACCAAGGGGAGATGCTGAAATCCCTGGGGATATTTCAGTATGGACCAGCAATTGCTGGTCCCTGGAGCTTGCTGATTTAAAATCTCTAGGCCAATTGGCATTCAGTGTAGATCCCGGAACATACCTGAGCCTAAACCCTGCCTCCAGGAGTTTGTCTAAGACTTACCTCTATTACTCTAGCAACCCCACCCTGGGGGTGGAGCATGTATCATACTCCAGATGACCCACCTAATATTGAAGTTTTGTTTTGTATTCTTTTATATTTATTTTTAATTTTTTTAAACTTTTACTACACACACACACACACACACACACACGTATATTTTCCCACCTCACTTATCTGTTTCCCTTGATCCTCTTTCTCTGTGTCCAATCTCTATTGTACTCTTTCACTCATTCTTTCATTTTTTACTTCTATCTTTTCTCCTTCACCCTCATAATCATCACATCCTATATTATTTCTGTTCTCTCCCTGTTCACCACTCAAAATTGTAAATCCTCCTACAAACTTACTGTTTTTATTGTAGGCAATAACTTATTCATCATTTCTGTTTATTGTGACAATTAACATTGTAAACATCATAGCAGGAACTATTTACTTTAATGCTCTACATTGTTTGCATTTGTTGTTATTATTTGGTGAACTACTCGAAATTGTTAACCACTTCAATTGGTAGCTTGGTGAGCAACATAAAAAGAGGAAAGGATTAATAACTCCCAACCCTTGCTGTTATGGTTTAGATGTGAGTTGTCTCCCAAAAGCTCTCTTGTGAGACAGTGCAAGAAGGCTCAGAGGAGAAATGATTGGGTTGTAAGAGTCCAACCCAATCAGTGATTTAATCCCCTGACCAGTATTAACTGAGTGTTAACTGAAGTGGTAGGATGTGGCTGGAATAGGTGGGAGTTGGGGCGTGGCTTTGAGTCTCTATTTGTATCTGCCAAGTGAACTCTCTCTCTGATTCCTGATGTGAGCTACTTTCCTCTGCTACACTCTCCTACCAAGACATTCAGCCTCACCTTGAGCCCCAAGAAATGGAGCTGGCCTTCTATGGACTAAGACCTCTGAAACCATGAGCCCGTGAGTTAACAGCCACATACTCTTGTTCTTTCTCACTTTACTTCCCTAATTTTTCTCTTCCTTCTTCTCTACATCTGTTCTGCATGTTCTCTCTTTACATTTTGAACATTCTAAACTTTCTTTTACACTATCACACTTTTTATCTTAATGAGCTATTTTAAACCATCTTTTAGAAATATTTGTTTCATGTAATTCCTGCCATTCATGTTGTTGCAGTTATTACTGCTGTAGATTATATTTTTAACTTTGATGTTTTTGCTGTTGGCAGTTGCTGATATTACCATTCCTATTTCTGTGGGGAGTAGTATTGTAGATATCATAGTAGGCACAGGGTATTTATTTTATTGCTATTTATTGTTTGAAATGGTTGTTGCTATTATTTATTTTCTCTTTTTCTGTGAAGCACTAGAAATCTGTAGGGACACTACACGTTCATAGGGTAGAGACACTACTGTTGAACTAAACTTAGCCAAATGATATTGCATTTTGCTTCACACAGAAAATAATGACACTCAAACTTTATACTTTAATACAAAGAATACAAGAGGCAAAAATGTAAAGTAATAACCAGGCCCTAAGTAGGAATGGCTAGTGGTGGGCCCTTAGGTCCCACTTATGCACATTTACTTCTGCAGGAAAAACAAAGAATTAACACAAAGCCTGTGAATTCTATGAGGGGGTCTCAATCTAGATATTTCTAGGCACTTTGGCAAGAGAAAGCCATGCCCTAAAAAGTCCCAAAGAAAATAATGGAAGGTAAATCCATCCAACAGATGCACAAAACTCAACACAGGAATACACAAATTATGAATAGAAAATGTGACATTGAGACCAGGTCAAAGAACAGGTAGCCAATTATCAAAAAAGAAAAAAGAAAGAAAGAAAGAAAGAAAGAAAGAAAGAAAGAAAGAAAGAAAGAAAGAAAGAAAGAAAGAAAGAAAGAAATAGATAACACTTCCTGTAACCTGGTTGCTAACAGTCTCTGTGGAGAGGAGAGGACTACACTTTACATCAGTAGCAATCACACTCTACAGCTCCCTTCCTGCCTTTGGGTAACCTTTCCGTCACGTAGAGTGGGAGGAGAGGTCATGAGAAGAAAGAAAGCCTGAAATCTAAAAATGGTGCAGGAAACTCCCACTCTTTCTGACACCAGCTCTGGACCTCCTCTTCTTTGAAGGAGTGTCTCCCCATGCACACATACACTCTGTTATATTTCTTAAATAAAATTCACTTTTTGCTCTTGCCTCAGCATTTCTTGGGTGTTTAATCTTCAATGCTGGGTGAATGGGGACCCTATCCTGATTTTCAGAACTGGTGTCAGATGGGGGCTTTGCTGGGATTGCCACTGAGGTAAGCTTCTCTGCACCCCACAGATTTTTGAAGTGTGTTCTCTCTCTTTCTGGCAGACAATCATGGTCATCTGTTGGCTAATTAAATGCAGTTAGTGTAAGCCACCATTCTATAAGACTCTGGTGACAGGATTCATGGACTAGGTGGCTCTTAACCAACTGTCCTGTGGTCAGGCATGTTGGGTTCTGCCAAAACTGTTTCTCACTATTCTATCCAGGCTCATAGAGTATCTGGAATCAGTAGACAATGTCCCTAATCCCAGTTTGCCTTTGGAAATTTGGAAAGGAACAAAGGGTTAAAACAAAAGGCCAGGGCCACTGTCCAGTAAATCTGAAAGGTTTCCTTTTTGATCTCCACTCCCAACAGTCCTGATGGGGTATTCTGTGGCTTCTGGTCAGTCAAGTGATGCTGAGTGAAAGTCCCAGTGACATACACTTTGGGATGAGCCAATCTTCGCTCTCCCAAGCTAGCTCCTCTCGAGCAACTCCCCTCCCTTCCCTGATGAGACTCTAGCCATTGAGAGAGAGACATTTTACATGGAGTGGTTCATAAAGAATTGCTTGGGTTCCTTTTGTTTGCATATTAAGTCTTTACAAGCCTGTAGAGATTCCAATTGTTGTTTCTGTCTCCTGTGTGCTGCACTGGCTTCTTTGACTGCAAAAAGGGAGATTTATACCCACAGCCTTTCAATTCACCTTTGGCTTAGATTCCTTGGGGAAAAAGGGCATTAAGCATGTAGCAAACACTAGATGTCCTCCTCTCCTTCTGGAATTCCTTCAAATCATAGCGAGCATAAACTTTTTATTCTAGCCTTTACACCTAGTGTTCTGCTACTGCCAAATATAGTCTCAATACAAACTCACTGATAGAGAACCATGGCCATAAGAGTGAAATGTAAATTCTAATACTATTCTACAGCTTTTGGTCTGTTCTGTAAATAGAAGGAAATAGTCTGAGATTCCTATGTGCAGGCCTAAGGATTTCTCAAACCTTGTTTAAAAAACCCAAATTATGCCAAAAATGTAGCATAGATTTAACTATGATCCTCCATTCTAAGTGAGGCCCAGTCCTCCCCTTCAAAAAAGTTTATTAACTAATGGTAGGATTAACACAGATGAAGATTCATTACAAAAAAGTGGTCCCATGTTCTCCCAGGGATTATAAATCACATAGTAAGGGAGAATAATCTGGAGGCTTGTATCTTTTTTATGGCCACCCATGAAAAAAGCAGAGGTTATGACCACACTGGTGAGGCAGCAGTTACATACAGAGGTCATGCATGGAAGGAGGGGCAGAAACTTTTGGCCATTAGAAGCTTCAGGAGCTAGAGGTTCCAATATTGGAAAGATGTCCCCTAGCCAAAGAGATAGTTCATTGGTGCTTCTGTTCTTTCATTCAGTTCATGTTGTTTAGAGGGGAGAGTCTCATCCTCAAAAGTAATGGGAAATGATGTCTCACAATTTTCTTCACCCAAACCTGGCCTGATTACCAACTGGGGAATGAAAAGGGGTCTTCA